CAAGTATACCACATCCACTGCCACCCCTCTGTCCATGTATACCATGTTCACCACCACCCCTCTGTCCAAGTATACCACGTCCACCACCACCCCTCTGTCCAAGAATACCACGTCCACCGCCACCCCTCTGTCCAAGTATACCGCGTCCACCACCACCCCTCTGTCCAAGTATACCGCATCCACAGCCACCCCTCTGTCCAAGTATACCACGTCCAAAGCCACCCCTCTGTATAAGTATACAACTTCCACAGCCTCCCCTCTGTCCAAGTATACCACGTCCAAAGCCACCCCTCTGTCCAAGTATACAACTTCCACAGCCACTCCTCTGTCCAAGTATACCATGTTCAAAACCACCCCTCTGTCCCAGTATACCACGTCTAAAGCCACCCCTCTGTCCAAGTATACCACAACCACTGCCACCCCTCTGTCCAAGTATACCTTGTCCACAGCCACCCCTCTCCCAAGTATGCCACGTCCACCGCCCCCCCTCTGTCCAAGTATACCACGTCCACCGCCCCCCCCTCTGTCCAAATACACCACGTCCACCACCACCCCTCTGTCCAAGTATACCACGTCCACCACCACCCCTCTGTCCAAGTACACCACGTTCACCACCACCCCTCTGTCCAAGTATACCACGTCCACTGCCATCCTTCTGTCCAAGTATACCATGTTCAAAACCACCCCTCTGTCCCAGTATACCACGTCTAAAGCCACCCCTCTTTCCAAGTATACCACAACCACCGCCACACTCCTCTGTCCAAGTATACCACGTCCACAGCCACCCCTCTCCCAAGTATGCCACAACCACCGTATAACCACAACCACCGCCATCCCTCTGTCCAAGTATACCACAACCACCGCCACCACCCCTCTGTCCAAGTATACCACGTCCACAGCCACCCCTCTGTCCAAGTATACCACGTCCACAGCCACCCCTCTGTCCAAGTATACCACGTCCACAGCCACCCCTCTGTCCAAGTATACCACGTCCACAGCCACCACCCCTCTGTCCAAGTATACCACATCCACAGCCACCCCTCTGTCCAAGTATACCACATCCACCACCACCCCTCTGTCCAAGTACACCACGTCTTACATAACAAATATACATAACTTGTAACTGCTGTTTAATCATCATGGCTCACTCCCGGGTCGTGGACTCATCAGAACCTTCTAAGTAGCTAAAACAAACAATCTGAGAATGATTTATGACACGACCATTCAGGAACACGTGGCAAAGGTTGCCCTGCACCTTTTTTGGTTTCCAGTTATAATGTGACGTGCTGTACGTGGTCATTTATTCCAGATCAGATATGGTGACAAGCTGCTAGCACCGAACAACGCTGACCGACCACATTTGTACCTCCTACACAGTACACATAACAATGTAAAATAGCCACTGGTGGCCTGTCCTCCCCTGGACTGACCCATCCACGTGTACGATGTGAGGAAACACTTCCTTCGTTCACTGTCAGAGTGCCGTCCCACTGAAATTCCACAACTCCAAGGATCACTGGTGGTTACAATGTTACAATACAGACAGGGATCACTGGTGGGTTACAATGTTACAATACAGCCGGGGATCACCGGTGGATACAATGTTACAATACAGCCGGAGATCACCGGTGGTTACAATGTTACAATACAGCCAGAGATCACTGGTGGATACAATGTTACAATACAGCCAGGAGATCACCGGTGGTGGATACAATGTTACAATACAGACAGGGATCACTGGTGGTTACAATGTTACAATACAGCCGGGGATCACCGGTGGATACAATGTTACAATACAGACAGAGATCACCGGTGGATACAATGTTACAATACAGCCAGAGATCACTGGTGGATACAATGTTACAATACAGCCAGAGATCACTGGTGGTTACAATGTTACAATACAGCCAGAGATCACTGGTGGATACAATGTTACAATACAGCCAGAGATCACTGGTGGTTACAATGTTACAATACAGCCAGGGATCACTGGTGGTTACAATGTTACAATACACAATCACTGGTGGTTACAATGTTACAATACAGACAGAGATCACTGGTGGTTACAATGTTACAATACAGCCAGGGATCACCGGTGGATACAATGTTACAATACAGCCAGAGATCACTGGTGGTTACAATGTTACAATACAGCCAAGGATCACCGGTGGTTACAATGTTACAATACAGCCGGGGATCACTGGTGGTTACAATGTTACAATACAGCCAAGGATCACCGGTGGTTACAATGTTACAATACAGCCAGGGATCACCGGTGGTTACAATGTTACAATACAGACAGGGATCACCGGTGGTTACAATGTTACAATACAGCCAGGGATCACACCAGGGGTGGTTACAATGTTACAATACAGCCAGGGATCACCGGTGGTTACAATGTTACAATACAGACAGGGATCACTGGTGGTTACAATGTTACAATACAGCCAAGGATCACCGGTGGTTACAATGTTACAATACAGCCGGGGATCACTGGTGGTTACAATGTTACAATACAGCCAAGGATCACCGGTGGTTACAATGTTACAATACAGCCAGGGATCACCGGTGGTTACAATGTTACAATACAGCCAGGGATCACCGGTGGTTACAATGTTACAATACAGACAGGGATCACCGGTGGTTACAGTTACAATGTTACAATACAGCCAGGGATCACCGGTGGTTACAATGTTACAATACAGCCAGGGATCACCGGTGGTTACAATGTTACAATACAGACAGGGATCACCGGTGGTTACAGTGTTACAATACAGACAGGGATCACCGGTGGTTACAGTGTTACAATACAGCCAGGGATCACCGGTGGTTACAGTGTTACAAGATTATTCAGAGCTTAAGCCCGGCACACAAGATGAGAATATCGGATGAATGATCATTCTTTTTTTGGGGTTTTTTGCATGCCAGTCTCATATCGATAATGAAGAGGTTACTAAAGGTACGGAAATTCTTGTAAGCCAGAATACAAGTTCTGAAAGTGGTGTCATGTGGCTGTGTTGTATTCGTATTGTATTTTTGTTGTATTTTTGTTGTATTTTTCTTGTATTTTGTATTGTATTTGTGTTGTATTTGTTGTATTTGCATTGAATTTGTATCACATTTTTGTTGTATTTGTTGTATTTGTATTATATTTGTGCTGTATTTGTTGTATTTTTGTTGTATTTGTATTATATTTGTGCTGTATTTTTGTTGTTTTTTTTGTTGTATTTTGTATTATATCTTTTGTTGTATTTGTTGTATTTTTTGTATTTGTATTGTGCTGTATTTGTATTTTTTTATTTTTGTGCTGTATTTTGTTGTATTTTTGTTGTATTTTTGTATTATATTTGTATCACATTTTTGTTGTATTTGTTGTATTTGTATTATATTTGTGCTGTATTTGTTGTATTTTTGTTGTATTTTGTATTTGTATTATATTTGTGCTGTATTTGTTGTATTTTTGTTGTATTTTGTATTATATTTGTGCTGTATTTGTTGTATTTTTGTTGTATTTTGTATTATATTTGTGCTGTATTTGTTGTTTTTTTGTTGTATTTTGTATTATATTTGTGCTGTATTTGTTGTATTTTTGTTGTATTTTGTATTATATTTTTTTGTTTTGTATTGTATTTGTATTGTATTTTCAGACACAAAGTGCCCTGATTTGATGAAGATGGTCCGATCCGGTATCGTACGAGAAACATTCCTTCTGTACTGAAAAGTCCTGTAATTGTACCGCCCCCCTTATATTGTACCGCGCTGCGCAGACTGTTGGCGCCATAAATCCCGTATAATAATCATTTTCACGCTTCTCCCTACGAATCATTTTGGAAATCTGTGTGATAACTGTCAGATCATCGATTCAAAGTCGTATTTTTCATACAATTCTGATTGAGTGTTGTAGGCTTTTGACTGGAGGAAGCCCCCCTCCCCTCCAGCCCCCCCCCCCTCTGACTCGCCCCCCTCCGACTCGCCCCCCTCCCATCCAGCCCCCCCCCCTCCGACTCGCCCCCCTCCCATCCAGCTCACTCCCCCCTTCCCTCCAGCTCGCCCCCTCCTCCCTGTTTTGCGTGTTTCCTCTATCATCAGGAAGACAGCCCAGCTCTCAGTGTTTTGACTGTTGAATACAGAGATTCCTGGACTCTTCTCCTCCAAGGGCCCCACAGGAGACTGCAGGGCCACACTACAGGCCAGGATCCACGTTGTCGAGTCGCTCTGCTGTCCTCCCATGGTACATTTCTTAAAGGTGCTCTGCCCTCTGTGTTATTGGGTGAGTAAAAGATGACCCCCCCATCCTTCATGTATTGGTTTTTTTTGTATGGAGGGACCTGTATAATGGTGGACACTGGGGGGGGGGGGGGGGGTGGACACTGCAGGGGGGGGCCACCAGTGACCATCAATGGACACATGACTCACCATACACTGCAATCTTCAAACCAGGGTCCATCTGCAGGACAAATCAATATCTCGTCATACGCCATGCATTGACCAACTACCAGAGCCGGGTAATTAGATTGTCAGCTCCTGTAGGACAGAGATGGTTGCATGACTTGCTGTGGACTAACAGAAGCAACTGCAGGAGATCACCCCCCCCCCCCCCACCCCCCCGGACCCCCCCCCCCCCCCCCCCCAGGAACCGAACCCTCGCCATACCGGTACCCTCATTTATATTTTATGAGCTGTCAGAGACAAGCAGATCCCTCACCAAGAACCATGGATGGTGACATCTGTCCATCCTGACCTCAACTGATCGCCACTGGGACCCCCAACAGGTATACACAGAGAAGGACCTCTCAAAGGTTGGCTGAAGAAAGGGTCTTTGTTCAGCCATTTCCTGTTGTAGGGTGACAACACCCTGTCCCTGCCTCCCAATTGCAGCCAATTGCATCTCCTAAACTCCAAACTTTAACCAACGGCTATCATGGCAAAAAGAGAAAACTCTGCCTCTGCTTCAAAAACATGTCGTCTTCTCTTTCAGCAGAACATCCATTCGGTGGAGAATGTCTTTGCTGGACTCCACGTATCTCAGCAGCATCAAAGGAGCACAGGCCTTCATCAGCATGGACCCCAACCTGCTACGTGAGTAGATGATGGACTGACATGGGGCTGTATATAAAGGTGAACCATGGCACAGCATGTGACTGGTATGGGGGCTCAGAATCAGCTGAGCTGCACCATGACCGTTCCAGGCCACCATCAAATTATGGACATAGTGGACATGGACATAGCAGAGCATTCCCTTCTTACGTCACCCCTTCTCCATTCACTCATATTCTTACACCTTCTGGCTGTGTTTGCAGACCATCACACCTACACTAGATTGCCAAAAGTATTGGGCCGCCGGCCTTTCCCCACACATGAACTTTATTGGCCTCCCAGTCTTAGTCCGTAGGGTTCAATATTGAGTTGGCCCCGCCCTTTCCACACACATGACCTATAATGGCCCCCCAGTCTTAGTCCGTAGAGTTTAATATTGAGTTGGCCCCGCCCTTTCCACACACATGACCTTTAATGGCCCCCCAGTCTTAGTCCGTAGGGTTCAATATTGAGTTGGCCCCGCCCTTTCCACACACATGACCTTTAATGGCCCCCCAGTCTTACTCCGTAGGGCTCAATATTGAGTTGGCCCCGCCCTTTGCAGCTATAACAGCTTCACCTCTTCTGGGAAGGCCGTCCACAAGGTTTAGGAGGGTGTCTATGGGAAGGTTGGACCATTCTTCCAGAAGCACATTTGTCAGGTCAGGCACTGATGTCGGGGAGGGGCACTGATGTCGGGGGAGGAGGCCTGGCTCGCAGTCTCCGCTCTAATTCATCCCAAAGGTGTTCTATGGGGTGGAGGTCAGGACTCTGTGCAGGACAGTCAAGTTCCTCCACCCCAAACTGGCTCCTCCATGTCTTTATGGACCTTGCTTTGTACACTGGTGGGCAGTCATGTTGGAACAGGAAGGGGCCATCCCCAAACTCTTCCCACAAAGTTGGGAGCATGAAATTGTCCAAAATGTCGCCTTAAGAGTTTCCTTCGCTGGAACTAGGGGGCCAAGCCCAACCCCTGAGGAACACCCCCACACCATAATCCCCCTTCCCCCAAACTTTACACTTGGCACAATGCAGTCAGGCAAGTACCGTTCTCCTGGCAACCGCCAAACCCAGACATGTCCATCAGATTGCCAGACAGAGAAGCATGATTGGTCACTCCAGAGAACACGTCTCTATTGCTCTAGAGTCCAGTGGCGGCGTGCTTTACACCACGGCATCCGACGCTTTGCATTGCACTTGGTGATGGAAGGCTTGGATGCAGCTGCTCGGCCATTGAAACCCATTCCATGGAGCTCTCTATGCACTGTTGTTGGGCTCATCTGAAGGCCACACCAAGTTTGGAGGTCTTTAGCTATTGACTCTGCAGACAGTTGGTGACTTCTGCGCACTGTGCGCTTCAGCATGCGCTGACCCCGCCCTGTCATGTGACGTGGCCTACCACTTGTTGGCTGAGTAGCTGTTGTTCCCAGTGGCTTCCACTTTGTTATAATCCCACTAACAGTTGAGCGTGGAATATTTAGTAGCCAGGAAATGTCACGGATGGACTTATTGCCCAGGTGGCCACCTATCACGGAACCCACGCTTGGAGTCACTGAGCTCCTGAGAGCGACCCATTCTTTCACCAATGTTTGTAGAAGCCGTCTGCATGCCTAGGGGCTTGATTGTATACACCTGTGTCCATGGAGGGGATTGGAACACCTGAATCACATGATATGGAGGGGATTGGAACACCTGAATCACATGATATGGAGGGGATTGGAACACCTGAATCACATGATATGGAGGGGATTGGAACACCTGAATCACATGATATGGAGGGATTGGGACACCTGAATCACATGATATGGAGGGGATGGAACACCTGAATCACATGATTGGGAGGGGATTGGAACACCTGAATCACATGATATGGAGGGGATTGGAACACCTGAATCCCATGATATGGAGGGGATTGGAACACCTGAATCACATGATATGGAGGGGATTGGAACACCTGAATCACATGATATGGAGGGGATTGGAACATCGGAATCACATGATATGGAGGGGATTGGAACACCTGAATCACATGATATGGAGGGGATTGGAACATCGGAATCACATGATATGGAGGGGATTGGAACACCTGAATCACATGATATGGAGGGGATTGGAACACCTGAATCACATGATTGGGAGGAGATTGGAACACCTGAATCACATGAGATGGAGGGGATTGGAACATCGGAATCACATGAGATGGAGGGGATTGGAACACCTGAATCACATGATATGGAGGGGATTGGAACACCTGAATCACATGATTTAGAGGGCGGGGACAATACTTTGGGCAATATTGTGTATATAAGCTTGTAGGACATCCCAAATCTAAATCCATGGCTGTTTTTATGGAGTTATTGCCCCGTCCCATGGCTATTAATATGAAGTTGCTCCCCCCTCCCTATGACCATTATTATTTAGCCGCCCCCCCCCTGCCATTACACATATTTTGATCTTGCTGGACATCCCATTCCAAAGTCATGGCCATTAATATGGAGTAGCCCCCCTCCCTCCATGGCCATTAATATGAAGTTGCTTTTCCTCTATGGCCATTAATATGGAGTAGCCCCCCCCCTCCCTAGGACCATTAATATGGAGTAGCCCGCCTCCCTATGACCATTAATATGGAGTTGCCCCCCTCCATATGGCTATCAATATGGAGTTGCCCCCTTCTTATGGCCATGACTATGGAGTGTCCATTAATAAGGTGTTTTGTTACTAAGACAGTACCCACTCATCTGGGGGGGGAGCCACAATCACTCACATCTAAAATCCCCCCCCCACGGTGGGGGCTTTCCACAAGATCACAAGACATTGAAGGGTGTCCGTGAGAATTTGTGCCCATCTGTGAGATCAGATACTGATGTTGGATAAGAAGATCTGGCTCATATGTTGGGCGCCAAAAAAAACAAAACTTGGCTTACAGTGGGCGTTATAATTCATCCCAAAGGTGTTCAGTAGGGTTGAGGTCAGGGCTGTGTGCAGGACACTCAAGTTCCTCCACTCCAAACTGGTCAAACCATGTCTTTATGAAACTGACTCCATTCTTCTAGGAAGGCTTCCTACACAATTTTGGAGTGTCTGTGGGAATGTGTGCCCGTTCAGCCAACATAGCATTGGTGAGGTCTGTATTAATGTTGGATGAGAAGACCTGGCTCACAACCCATTTCATTCCAACTGGGAGGGTGTCTATGGGAAGGTTGGACCATTCGGGAGGAGGCCTGGCTCGAGTCTCTGCTCCAATTCATCCCAAAGGTGGCTCGTCAGGCTTTGCGCAGGACACTCCAGTTCTCCACACCAAGCTGGTCATCCATGTTCTTTAGGTCAGGGCTTGGCTGTACACAGGGGACAGTCGTGGGAACAGAAAAGTTCTCCACACCAAACTGGTCATCCATGTCTTTATGGAGCTGGCTGTACACAGGGGACAGTCATGTGGGAACAGAAAAGGGTCTTCACCAAACTGGTCATCCATGTCTTTATGGAGCTGGCTTTGTACACAGGGGACAGTCATGTGGGAACAGAAAAGGGTCTTCACCCAACTGGTCATCCATGTCTTTATGGAGCTGGCTTTGTACACAGGGGACAGTCATGTGGGAACAGAAAAGGGTCTTCACCAAACTGGTCATCCATGTCTTTATGGAGCTGGCTGTACACAGGGGACAGTCATGTGGGAACAGAAAAGGGTCTTCACCAAACTGGTCATCCATGTCTTTATGGAGCTGGCTTTGTACACAGGGGACAGTCATGTGGGAACAGAAAAGGGTCTCACCAAACTGGTCATCCATGTCTTTATGGAGCTGGCTTTGTACACAGGGAGACAGTCGTGGGAACAGAAAAGGGGTCATCCACACAGGGTCATGTGGGAACAGAAAAGGGTCTTCACCAAACTGGTCATCCATGTCTTTATGGAGCTGGCTTTGTACACAGGGGACAGTCATGTGGGAACAGAAAAGGGTCTTCACCAAACTGGTCATCCATGTCTTTATGGAGCTGGCTGTACACAGGGGACAGTCATGTGGGAACAGAAAAGGGTCTCTTCACCAAACTACCACAAGGGGTTGGAAGAAAAAAGGGCACTGGAAGAGCATGGTCTCTAATGTCTTTGTATGATGGAGTACTAAGAGGACCCTTCACTGGAGACACCTGTCCTCCATCATTGGAGAGGTGACTACATACTTATAATGTATATCTAGTTCCATTTACGCGTCTTAACTGTCCCAAAGTTTGAACCTTCACAATGGCAGGACTTCAGAAGTCTACGTGGGGTGTAGTGGAAATACAGACACAGTATGGTGGGTAGAGAAGGACTCTGGGGAAATCAGGGTGGGAATTAACCAACCATGTCTTGAGTTTGCATGTGAGAATATTACAAGTTATCCAAACCTAATGACATCTCCATGTTTGGATGGTGCAGGATTTCCGGAGGTCGTTCTAGAAAGGATCCAGATAAAGATAGAGGATGACCCATCGCCTTCCATCAATACAGACGGTGAGTTCCTTCGCATGATAATCAGCGATCAGAATTTGGAACTAATGGTGGATCATTCCATGTTGATTTGTGACAGATTTGCATAGATAGCACCTGGTGGGAAAAGTCAAACATGGTCAGACATCGCAGGATCGTACATTGCAGCTTTCTGCTAGAATAAATTCCCGGCTTCAGCTTGAAGACCATGAGAGCAGATACTGGGACAAGGCCGGGGAGGTCAGTCTGCGATGTCCTTCAACAACTAAATACAAGACCCTCTCCTTACCCTCACAACATGGAAAAGTGACCCAAAGAGTGCCTGTCATGACTGGAATTGGGGCCGCCATACTCAGAAATGCTGGTTACCTGGCTTTTTAACACACATAAGTCCCTCATCTCAGGGCTGGGGCAAAGGGTGGGCAGGTGGGGCAGCTGCCGTGGGCACTGTGATACCAGGTGAAGGGGGGAACCATGAGGATATTGGGGGAAGGGGATTTGTGTTGGGAGGGGGAATTTAGGGGGCAGCACAGGGTAAGAATTGGTCTAGAATGGGACATTTTTGGGAGGTGTGCTAAGCGTGGTGATTTGGGGGGGGGATTTGCGTTGGGAGGGTGGAAGAGGATTAGTGCTAGGAGGGGAGATTTGCGTTGGGAGGGTGGAAGAGGATTAGTGATAGGAGGGGGGATTTGCGTTAGGAGGGGGGATTTGGTGGAAGAGGATTAGTGATAGGAGGGGGGATTTGGGGGGATTTGCGTTGGGAGGGTGGAAGAGGATTAGTGCTAGGAGGGGGGATTTGTGTTGGTAGGGTGGAAGAGGATTAGTGCTAGGGGGGGGACTTGGGGGGATTTGCGTTGGGAGGGTGGAAGAGGATTAGTGCTAGGGAGGGGGGATTTGGGGGGGATTTGCGCTTGGGAGAGGGTGGAAGAGGATTACTGCTAGGGGGGGGGAGGGGATTTTGGGGGGGATTTGCGTTGGGAGGGTGGAAGAGGATTAGTGCTAGGAGGGGGGATTTGCGTTTGGGGGGTGGAAGAGGATTAGTGATAGGAGGGGGATTTTAGGGGGGATTTGCGTTGGGAGGGGGGAAGAGGATTAGTGCTAGGAGGGGGGATTTTTGTTGGGGGAGGGTGGAAGAGGATTAGTGCTAGGAGGGGGGGAATGTGGCATTGGGATCGGTGGAAGAGGATTAGTGCTTAGGTGGAGGGGGGATTTGCATTGGGAGGTTGGAAGAGGATTAGTGCTAGGAGGGGGGTTTGGGGGGGATTTGCATTGGGAGGGTGGGAGAGGATTAGCGCTAGGAGGGGGGATTTGGGGGGGATTTGCGTTGGGAGAGGTGGGAGAGGATTAGTTCTAGGGAGGGGGGGGATTTGGGGGTGGGTTGCAGTGCTAGAAAGGTGATATGGTAGAGAGGGGGAAAGGATTTGTGCTTGAAGGGGAACATTTTTTTCGGGGGGTGGAAGGGAATTGTGTTAGTAGGGATGATTGGGGGGGATTTTTGCTAGATGGGGGATTTGGGGGGGATTTTCATGGGAGGGGGAGATGGGATTTGGGAGTGGGGGAAGAGGATTTGTTGCTCAATGAAATTTATTGCCTGATTTTTTTTTTTGGGGGGGGGGGGTTCTGGTGGGAGGCGTTGGGGAAGGTGGAATGGAATAGGCGATATTTATAATGCTCTTACATCTTTGGGGGGGGGGGGGTTCTGGTGGGAGGCGATATTTATAATGCTCTTACATCTTTGGGGGTGGGGGGGGTTTGGTGGGAGGCGATATTTATAATGCTCTTACATCTTGGGGGGGGGGGGGGGGGTTTGGGTGGGAGCGATATTTATAATGCTCTTACATCTTTGGGGGGGGGGGGGGTTCTGGTGGGAGGCGATATTTATAATGATGCTTACATCTTTGGGGGGGGAAGGGATTATTGGGGGGGGGGGGTTTTCTATGGTGGGAGGCAGATATTTATAATGCTCAAAGGTGAATTTTGGGGGGGGGGGGGGTTCTGGTGGGAGGCGATATTATGCATAATGCTCTTACATCTTTTGGGGGGGGGGGGGTTAGGGGGGATTTGCGTTGGTGGGAGGCGATATTTATAATGTTTGGGGGGATCTTTGGGGGGGGGGGGGGGTTCTGGTGGGAGGCGATAGGATGATTTGCTTAAGGGTATCTTTTTTGGACTTTGGGGGGGGGGGGGGGTTCTGGTGGGAGGGCGATATTTTAATGTTCTCTTACATCTTTGGGGGGGGGGGGTTCTGTGGTGGGAGGCGATATTTATAATGCTCTTAAATCTTTGGGGGGGGGGGGGGTTCTGGTGGGAGGCGATATTTATAATGCTCTTACATCTTTGGGGGGGGGGGGGGGGGTTCTGGTGGGAGGCGATTTTATAAATGCTCTTACATCTTTGGGGGGGGGGGGGTTCTGGTGGGAGGCGATATTTATAATGGCTCTTACTTTGGGGGGAGGGGGGGGGGGGTTCTGGTGGGAGGTCGGTATAATGGCTCTTACATCTTTGGGGGGGGGGGTTTCTTGGGGGAGGCGAATATTTATAATGCTCTTACATCTTTGGGGGGGGGTGTTCCCCTTTTTGGTGGGGAGGCGATATTTATAATGCTCTTACATCTTTGGGGGGGGGGGGGGGGTTCTGGTGGGAGGCGATATTTATTATGTCTGTTAATGCAATTCTTACATCTTTGGGGGGGGGGGGGGGGGTTCTGGTGGGAGGCGATATTTTTATAATGCTCTTACATCTTGGGGTGGGGGGGGGTTCTGGTGGGAGGCGATATTTATAATGCTCTTACATCTTTGGGGGGGGGGTGGCATGTGGTGCATGTCCCTGGTCTCTAGGTGACGTTGTCGCCCCGGCACTAGGTGAAGGATTAGTGGTGGGGTCTGATTGCCGACGTTTCGGCCAGTCCGTTGGGAGGCCGACTTATAGTTGTGTTTCTTCCATTGGTACTTTACTGTATACAATAGCTTCCCTCTTCCACTGTCAGTTGTTAAGGAAGCTGGGGGTGCCGGCACCAGCCGCGTCCTTAGCAACCAGCGATGTTACCCAGCCTCCATTCATTCTTTTTAAAGGGGGACTTCCAGATTCCAATGTGACCCCCAAAACCACCAGGCCAGGGTTGTGGGAAAGTTGCCCTTGTCCTGATCATCATGGAGATGTGGTCTTTAACAGGATCCCACACCACCCAGCCCCACCCTCCTTCCCCGGAAAGGTACCTCCAATGTTGTGGGCGTGTGGCCTGGTATAGTTTGGGGGGGTTGCATGGCTTGCATGTTCTGATAAGGGTCCAGTATTGATATTTAGGGGATCCCACTACTCTTTTTTTTTTTTTTTTGCATTCCCCCTTCACATCCATACCAAATATCAAGGATAAGGGTCTAGGGTGGTTTTTGTGATGGTGGCTGGTAGTGACACCAAGGATAAGGGTCTGGTGTGGAGGGTGGCTGGTAGTGACACCAAGGATAAGGGTTCTGGTGTGATGGTGGCTGGTAGTGACACCAAGGATAAGGGTCTGGTGTGAGGGTGGCTGGTAGTGACACCAAGGATAAGGGTCTGGTGTGATGGTGGCTGGTAGTGACACCAAGGATAAGGGTCTGGTGTGAGGGTGGCTGGTAGTGACATCAAGGATAAGGGTCTGGTGTGATGGTGGCTGGTAGTGACACCAAGGATAAGGGTCTGGTGTGATGGTGGCTGGTAGTGACACCAAGGTTATAGGTCTGGTGTGATGGTGGCTGGTAGTGACACCAAGGATAAGGGTCTGGTGTGATGGTGGCTGGTAGTGACACCAAGGATAAGGGTCTGGTGTGATGGTGGCTGGTAGTGACACCAAGGATAAGGGTCTGGTGTGATGGTGGCTGGTGTGACACCAAGGTGGTCTGGTGTGATGGTGGCTGGTAGTGACATCAAGGATAAGGGTCTGGTGTGATGGTGGCTGGTAGTGACACCAAGGATAAGGGTCTGGTGTGATGGTGGCTGGTAGTGACACCAAGGATAAGGGTCTGGTGTGATGGTGGCTGGTAGTGACACCAAGGATAAGGGTCTGGTCTGTGATGGGGGCTGGTAGTGACACCAAGGATAAGGGTCTGGTGTGATGGTGGCTGGTAGTGACACCAAGGATAAGGGTCTGGTGTGATGGTGGCTGGTAGTGACACCAAGGATAAGGGTCTGGTGTGATGGTGGCTGGTAGTGACACCAAGGATAAGGGTCTGGTGTGATGGTGGCTGGTAGTGACACCAAGGATAAGGGTCTGGTGTGATGGTGGCTGGTAGTGACATCAAGGATAAGGGTCTGGTGTGATGGTGGCTGGTAGTGACACCAAGGATAAGGGTCTGGTGTGATGGTGGCTGGTAGTGACACCAAGGATAAGGGTCTGGTGTGATGGTGGCTGGTAGTGACACCAAGGATAAGGGTCTGGTGTGATGGGCTGGTAGTGACACCAAGGATAAGGGTCTGGTGTGTAGTGGTGGCTGGTGGTGGTGTAGTGACACCAAGGATAAGGGTCTGGTGTGATGGTGGCTGGTAGTGACACCAAGGATAAGGGTCTGGTGTGAGGGTGGCTGATAGTGACACCAAGGATAAGGGTCTGGTGTGATGGTGGCTGGTAGTGACACAAGGATAAGGGTCTGGTGTGATGGTGGCTGGTAGTGACACCGAAGGATAAGGGTCTGTATGGTGTGGTGGCTGTGACACCAAGGATAATGGTCTGGTGTGATGGGGCTGGTAGTGACCCAAGGATAAGGGTCAGGGTCTGGTGTGATGGTGGCTGGTAGTGACAACAAGGATAGGGTCTGGTGTGCAATGGGGTCCCCCACAGTTTTGTTATGGGGTCCCCCATTAACATCTATAAAACCTCTTTCATCTAGGATAAGGGTCTGGGATAGTTGAAGGGAATCCCTGGACGTTTTTGTTACATACAGAAGTAAGTGAAGGGGAGGGGCCATATTATACCCAGGGTGTGTAACCCAATGAAGGGGAGGGGCTCATACTATACCCATGGTGTGTAACCCAATGAAGGGAGGGGCCATACTATACCCATGGTGTGCATCCCAATGAAGGGGAGGGGTCATACTATACCCAGGGTGTGTGTAACCCAATGAAGGGGAGGGGTCATACTATACCCAGGGTGTGTAACCCAATGAAGGGGAGGGGGTCATACTTATACCCAGGGTGTGTAACCCAATGAAGGGGGAGGGGGTCATACTATACCCATGGTGTGTATCCCAATGAAGGGGAGGGGGGCCATACTATACCCAGGGTGTGTATCCCAATGAAGGGGAGGGGCCATACTATACCCAGGGTGTGTATCCCAATGAAGGGGAGGGGCCATACTATACCCAGGGTGTGTATCCCAATGAAGGGGAGGGGCTCATACTATACCCATGGGGTGTATCCCAATGAAGGGGAGGGGGCCATACTATACCCATGGTGTGTATCCCAATGAATGGGAGGAGCTAATACTATATCTATGGTGTGTATCCCAATGAAGGGGAGGGGCTCATACTATACCCATGGGGTGTATCCTAATGAAGGGGAGGGGCCATACTATACCCATGGTGTGTATCCCAATGAAGGGGAGGGGCCATACTATACCCATGGTGTGTATCCCAATGAAGGGGAGGGGCCATACTATACCCATGGGGTGTATCCCAATGAAGGGGAGGGGTCATACTATACCATGGGGTGTATCCCAATGAAGGGGAGGGGTCATACTATACCCATGGGGTGTATCCCAATGAATTGGAAGGGGCCATACTATACCCATGGGGTGTATCCCAATGAAGAGGAGGGGTCATTACTATACCCATGGGGTGTATCCCAATGAAGGGGAGGGGCCATAGTATACCCATGGGGTGTATCCCAATGAAGGGGAGGGGTCATACTATACCCAAGGGGTGTGTATCCCAATGAAGGGGAGGGGCCATACTATACCCATGAGGTGTATCCCAATGAAGGGGAGGGGCCATACTATACCCATGGGGTGTATCCCAATGAATGGACATCTGAGGGCATCCTGCCAGCTCAATCCACCACTGAAGATGGTATTCCATTGCTACCCACCCTCCCCATGGCTGTAGGTTGCATTGTGGGGGGTGGGGGGGGGGGTATTGCAGAGGTAGATGGGGTGGGGCTCTAGTGGCGTTTCCTCAGGCCCGCTGTCCTGGCCAAGGTTATACAGGTGTATATACTACAAGCACCATGTACCTGAGAAGCTCATTTATTTCTCCACATTGCAATGGCGGCTCCATTGGAGATCAGTTGGATGAGTAGGCGGCTGGGAAATGTCATTTACCGACAACGTCATTGGTTTGTCTGTGGTGCTGTGGTGGGTTGTATACGTCGTATAGATGGGCCACTACACAGGTGGGGTCACGGCATCCCCCAGGCATGTGATTTACAGGACATTTAGCATTTTTAATGTTGCCCTTAAAGGATTATTGCTTTGGTAAATGCCCCTCGGGGCGGTGCCCCCCCAATGCCATCCCCTTGCCCATTAGCCCAGGAAACGGCCATTACTGATTCCTAATATTCGGCTCCCATTGACTTCAGATTCGGCACCCAGACATTTGCAGAGTTTGCACACTGGCCCAGAACCCGAACCTCCGGCATTCAGCTGATGGCTACTCAGTGGGTGAAGTCATTGCATCAGAAAAAGACAGCCAGGAAAACAGCATTTGTGGTCATCGGGGGCCGTCTATATGTAAATGAGTGAGTTGGGATAGGAGGAAGGAGGAGCCGCTGACATCATCCAGAATTGTACCCGCCCATTATTAACCCATTCCATTCCAACAGGAGAGGATGAGAAAAAGGAAATGAAGGACGAAGAATGGCCAAACAAGACGCAGCAAAATGGGGAGGTGTCCTACTACACCCACGGTGCGTATCCTATGGAAGGGGGAGGGGCTCACACTATACCTGGGGGGCGCATCCCGCTGAAGGGGGAGGGGGCCATACTATACCCATGGTGTGTATCCCAATGAAGGGGAGGGGCCATGCTATACCCAGGGTGTGTATCCCAATGAAGGGGAGGGGCCATGCTATACCCAGGGTGTGTATCCCAATGAAGGGGGAGGGCCATACTATACCCATGGTGTGTATCCCAATGAAGGGGAGGGGCCATGCTATACCCATGGTGTGTATCCCAATGAAGGGGAGGGGCCATGCTATACCCATGGTGTGTATCCCAATGAAGGGGAGGGGCCATGCTATACCCAGGGTGTGTATCCCAATGAAGGGGAGGGGTCATACTATACCCATGGTGTGTGTATCCCAATGAAGGGGAGGGGCCATACTATACCCAGGGTGTGTATCCCAATGAAGGGGAGGGGCCATGCTATACCCAGGGTGTGTATCCCAATGAAGGGGAGGGGTCATACTATACCCAGGGTGTGTATCCCAATGAAGGGGAGGGGCCATACTATACCCATGGTGTGTATCCCAATGAAGGGGAGGGGCCATGCTATACCCAGGGTGTGTATCCCAATGAAGGGGAGGGGCCATGCTATACCCAGGGTGTGTATCCCAATGAAGGGGAGGGGCCATGCTATACCCATGGTGTGCATCCCAATGAAGGGGAGAGGTCATGCTATACCCAGGGTGTGTATCCAAATGAAGGGGAGGGGTCATGCTATACCCATGGTGTGCATCCCAATGAAGGGGAGGGGCCATGCTATACCCAGGGTGTGCATCCCAATGAAGGGGAGGGGGCCATGCTATACCCATGGTGTGCAATCCCAATGAAGGGGAGGGGTCATGCTATACCCAGGGTGTGTATCCAAATGAAGGGGAGGGGTCATGCTATACCCAGGGTGTGTATCCCAATGAAGGGGAGGGGTCATACTATACCCATGGTGTGTATCCAAATGAAGGGGAGGGGTCATACTATACCCATGGTGTGTATCCAAATGAAGGGGAGGGGTCATACTATATACCCAGGGTGTGCATCCCAATGAAGGGGAGGGGTCATGCTATACCCATGGTGTGCATCCCAATGAAGGGGAGGGGCTCATGCTATACCCATGGTGTGCATCCCAATGAAGGGGAGGGGCCATGCTATACCCATGGTGTGTATCCCAATGGAAGGGGAGGGGCCATGCTATACCCATGGTGTGCATCCAATGAAGGGGAGGGGTCATGCTATACCCAGGGTGTGCATCCCAACGAAGGGGAGGGGCCATACTATACCCATGGTGTGCATCCCAATGAAGGGGAGGGTCATACTATACCCATGGTGTGCATCCCAATGAAGGGGAGGGGGCCATACTATACCCATGGTGTGCATCCCAATGAAGGGGAGGGGTCATACTATACCCATGGTGTGTATCCCAATGAAGGGGAGGGGCCATACTATACCCAGGGTGTGTATCCCAATAAAGGGGAGGGGCTAATACTATACCCATGGTGTGTATCCCAATGTAATGGGAAGGGGTCATGCTATACCCAGGGGTGGACTGACCATTGGGGAATTCCGGCACTGCCCGAGGGCCCAGGGTCAGTAGGGGGCCCCATGAGATGTCCCTGGTACCTTTCATAGGCTTTTTTGGGTGTGATTTGAGTGTGGGCGAGGATATAGGGGCCCCATGATCCCCTATTGCCCGGGGGCCCATGAGTTGTCAGTCCGCCCCTGGCTATACCCCATGTTGTGTATCCCAATGAATGGGGGGGGCTCATACTAATCGATGCTTATAAACAATGTTACTTTGTATCTCCATCTCCCGTCCTGATCGATGTTTATAAACAATGTTACTTTGTATCTCTCTATCCCCCATCTGATCGATGTTTATAAACAATGTTACTTTGTATCTCTCCATCTCCCGTCTGATCGATGTTTATAAACAATGTTACTTTGTATCTCTCCATCTCCCGTCTGATCGATGTTTATAAACAATGTTACTTTGTATCTCTCTATCTCCCGTCTGATCGATGTTTATAAACAATGTTACTTTGTATCTCTCCATCACCTGTCTGAACAATGTTTGTAAACAATGTTACTTTGTATCTCTCCATCACCTGTCTGAACAATGTTTGTAAACAATGTTACTTTGTATCTTTCACCCATCTGAACAATGTTTATAAACAATGTACCTTTTCCTCTCTCACCTGAACAATGTTTATAAACCCTGTGTTATTATACAGTGACACTTATTGATCCTTTGTGCTTCCTTCCTCTGTGGCAGTGGGGAGCGCAGTGTACCGGAGCCGAGGCTCTGGGAAGGAACGCAGGAAAGACGCGGTCAGAGCGGGTCACAGATTTGGATGCATTGGCTCCCTGAGTGAGATGGAGCGCGGCGGAGGACACCGGCGGGGAGGGAGGAAGAAGAGAGGCGGCTGGCACCATTTGGCCTTCCGGGACCGCCAGCAGTTCCAGCGCAAACTGAAGAAACACAACATGACGTACATGGAGGAGGAGCGCCAGAGGGGGCAGCGCTTCAGCGAGGAGGAGAACGAAGCTCTGGTGGAGAACGTCCTCATTTATTACCGGGAATTATGCGGTCACTCCGCCGTGAAGGGCAGCGCCACGCGGAAGAGGCGGCTGTGGCAGGAGGTGGTGAACAAAGTCAACAGCGTGGCAACGACGTACCGGACCATCGAGGTGTGCAAGAAGCGCTACGGCGACTGCAGGCGAGCGGTGAAGCTGAAGATGGCGGCTCTGGAGCAGCAGGCGCTGGGAAGGGGCGACCCCCACGAGCAGATCAGATTCAACAGCTGGGAGGACAAACTGCGGCAGAAGATCTCCGCTCTGATGTGCGGCGGAGGGCAGCAGGTCCTGGATACGTGCGAACCTACCATGCTGGAGCTCGCCGGTAAGTGTCCCCCAGTGCATGAGGCCATAAAACGGGGTACCCACCCCGTCCCCATAACCCGTCCTTGTTACCCGCCCCCGTAACCCACCCCATATCCTGTCCCCGTAACCCACCCCCGCAACCCACCTCCATAACCGCCCCCATAACCCGCCCCCGTAACCCACCCCATATCCTGTCCCCGTAACCCACCCCCCGCAACCCACCTCCATAACCGCCCCCATAACCCGCCCCGTAACCCACCCCATATCCCGTCCCCGTAACCCCACCCCCATAACTGCCCCCATAACCGCCCCCGTCACCCACCTCATATCCCATAACTCACCCCCGCAATCCACCCCCATAACCCGCCTCATATCCCGTCCCCGTAACCCACCCCCGCAACCCACCCCCGTAACCGCCCCCGTAACCCACCCCCGCAACCCCCCCCCATAACTGCCCCCATAACCGCCCCCGTCACCCACCCCATATCCCGTCCCCATAACCCACCCCCGCAAACCACCCCCGTAACCGCCCCGTAACCCACCCCCGTAACCCACCCCCGTAACCCACCCCCGCAACCCACCCCCATAACTGCCCCCATAACCCACCCCCGTAACCCACCCCATATCCCATAACCCACCCCCGCAACCCACACCCCCATAACCGCCCCATAACCCGTCCCCATAACCCGTCCCCATAACCCGTCTCCATAACCCATCTCCATAACCCGCCCCCCATAACCCGTCTCCATAACCCGTCTCCATAACCCGTCCCATAACCCGCCCCCCATAACCCGTCTCCATAACCCGTCTCCATAACCCGTCCCATAACCCGCCCCCATAACCCGTCTCCATAACCCACTATAAAACAATAATTTGCTGAGAATATCTCCGCAGACGTGATCTGACAAATGGAAACCTTCCCAGATCGACTCCACAGGCCGCAGTAATCCCGCCGCACGGTCCTGTAGACGCCTGCGTCCGTTCTGGAGATATCGGGACACTTCCCTCGGCTCCCCTGTAACCAGCTTCTTCTCTTTCAGGCCTCAACCCCATGGAGATCCTTGGCTCCGCCCTCTGCCATTCCTGGACCCCCACCGTGGACACGGCAGGTGAGACCCCCCCATATGTCACACTCCATCCTATGACAGTCATGAGGTGCGGCGAAAGACCCCACACTGAACAATAAGTCCTTCCAATATCCACCAGCCAATGGTTGAAGGAGGTCGGCGACTAAATCCTCCATTTGAACCCTCAACTCCAGACAAAGGTCAGGCCCCCCAGCAGTTGGGTATTGATGGGGTGGTAAAAATTTGGCGCTGAGAGGAGATAATCGCTCGGTGATATGGTGACAGGTAAGTCGATGATGTCAGCACTAGTGGTATCAGCTCCCCTGAGAGCACGGGTGTCACTGGCGGCCCTCCAGCTGTCCCCAAACTACAAGTCCCATGAGGCCTTGCAAGATTGGTAGTTACCAGCGTGACTCCCAAAGGCAGAGGCATGATGGGACTTGTAGTCACTCAACAGCTGGAGGACAGTGTGACACCTTATGTAGGAATATAAGTCTGACACAAGAGGGCGCCAAGTGCAGTCAGTATAAAAAGTGTATCGATAAAGTAGCCGAATACTCGCAAGGAGGAAATCAGATCGGGCGTTGGAGACGTGTCCTCGAAGGGGCCAGTGCAGGGGCCCATGGTGTCCAGTGCAGGGGCCGATGGTGTCCAGTGCAGGGAGACAGGACAGGAGATGGAGAGATACAAAGTAACATTGTTTATAAACATTGATCAGTCACGGGAGATAGAGATTAGAGATGAGCGAATCGAACCTGGCGAAGTGGAATTCGATTCGAATTTCAGGAAAAGTGTCCCTGCAGAGAGCTCCGCTATTTCTGACAGTTCTCTGACAGAAGGAACACATGTACAGCAGTTGAAACATTGTATCTATTTGTTTCCATTTAGGATACAGATGTTTCAACCGCTGTACATGTGAAGGAGCTGTCAGAGAACTGTCCTTCTTCCATCCTTCTCCTTCTTCTCATCCTTCCCTATCCTTCTCCATCTTCTCTTCTCCTTCATCCCTCCTTCTCCCTCATTCTCCTTCTCCTTCTCCCCTTCTCATCCTTACCTTCTTCTCATCCTTCTCCCCTCCTTCTCCCCCTTCTCCATTTCTCTTCCTTTCATCCTTCTTCTCATCCTTTCTCCTTCCTTCTCATCCTTCTCCTTCTTTCATCCTTCCTTCTTCTTCATCCTTCTTCTTCCTTCCCTTCTTCTCATCCTTCTCCTTCTCTCCTCCTTCTCCTTCCTTCATCTCATCCTTCTCCTCTTCTCATCCTTCTCCTTCTCCTTCTCTCATCCTTCTCCCTGCTTCCTATCCTTCTCCTTCTCCTTCTTCTATCCTTCTCCTCTTCTCATCCTTCTCCTTCTCCTTCTTCTCATCCTTCTCCTTCTCCATCTTCTCATTCTTCTCCTTCTTCTCATCCATCTTCTCATCCTTCTCCTCATCTTCTAACCTTCTTCCTTCTCATCCTTCTTCTCATCCTTCTCCTTCTTCCATCCTTCTCCTTCTTCTCATCCTTCTCCTTCTCCTTCTTCTCATCCTTCTCCTTCTTCTCATCCTTCTCCTTCTTCTCATCCTTCTCCTTCTCCTTCTTCTCATCCTTCTCCTTCTCCTTCTTCTCATCCTTCTCCTTCTTCTCATCCTTCTCCTTCTCCTTCTTCTCATCCTTCTCCTTTCCTTCTTCTCATCCTTCTCCATCTTCTCATCCTTCTCCTTCTCCTTCTTCTCATTCCTTCTTCTCATCCTTCTCCTTCTTCTCATCCTTCTCCTTCTTCTCATCCTTCTTCTTCTTCTCATCTTCTTCTCATCCTTCTCCTTCTTCTCATCCTTCTCCTTCTTCTCATCCTTCTCCTTCTCCTTCTTCTCATCCTTCTCCTTCTTCTCATCCTTCTCCTTCTCCTTCTTCTCTTAACCTTCTCCTGCTTCCTATCCTTCTCCTTCTCCTTCTTCTCATCCTTCTCCTTCTCCTTCTTCTCATCCTTCTCCTTCTCCATCTTCTCATCCTTCTCCTTCTCCTTCTTCTCATCCTTCTTCTTCTTCTCATCCTTCTTCTCATCCTTCTCCTTCTTCTCATCCTTCTCCTTCTTCTCATCCTTCTCCTTCTCCTTCTTCTCATCCTTCTCCTTCTTCTCATCCTTCTCCTTCTTCTCATCCTTCTCCTTCTCCTTCTTCTCATCCTTCTCCTTCTTCTCATCCTTCTCCTTCTCCTTCTTCTCATCCTTCTCCTTCTTCTCATCCTTCTCCTTCTTCTCATCCTTCTCCTTCTTCTCATCCTTCTCCTTCTCCTTCTTCTCATCCTTCTCCTTCTCCTTCTTCTCATCCTTCTCCTTCTCCTTCTTCTCATCCTTCTCCTTCTCCTTCTCCTTCCTCATCTCCAAGGGCATTTAAATTAAAGGTACAGTGTTCTGCACTAATATAAAGGCTCTCTGAAGCCTAGAAACCCTTTTAATAAGTTAAATTCGTAGCGAATTAATTCGCATCGAATCGAATTTCTTCCTCAAATTCGGCGAATCAGCCGAATCGAATTTTTGAATAATTCGCTCATCTCTAATAGAGATACAAAGTAACATTGTTTATAAACATCGATCAGACGGGAGATGGAGATACAAAGTAACATTGTTTATAAACATCGATCAAACGGGAGATAGAGATACAAAGTAACATTGTTTATAAACATCGATCAGACGGGAGATAGAGAGATACAAAGTAACATTGTTTATAAACAATCGATCAGACGGGAGATGGAGATACAAAGTAACATTGTTTATAAACATCGATCAGACGGGAGATAGAGAGATACAAAGTAACACTGTTTATAAACATCGATCAGACAGGGAGATAGAGAGATACAAAGTAACATTGTTTATAAACATGGATCAGACGGGTAGATGGAGATACAAAGTAACATTGTTTATAAACATCGATCAGACGGGAGATAGAGAGATACAAAGTAACATTGTTTATAAACATCGATCAGACGGGAGATAGAGAGATACAAAAGTAACATTTGTTTATAAACATCGATCAGACGGGAGATAGAGAGATACAAAGTAACATTGTTTAATAAACATGGATCAGACGGGAGATGGAGATACAAAGTAACATTGTTTATAAACATCGATCAGACGGGAGATAGAGGGATACAAAGTAACATTGTTTATAAACATCGATCAGACGGGAGATGGAGAGATACAAAGTAACATTGTTTATAAACATCGATCAGACGGGAGATAGAGAGATACAAAGTAACATTGTTTATAAACATCGATCAGATGGGAGATGGGAGATACAAAGTAACATTGTTTATAAACATCGATCAGACGGGAGATAGAGATACAAAGTAACATTGTTTATAAAACATGGATCAGACGGGAGATAGAGAGATACAAAGTAACATTTGTTTATAAACATCGATCAGACGGGAGACGGAGAGATACAAAGTAACATTGTTTATAAAACATCGATCAGACGGGAGATGGAGAGATACAAAGTAACATTGTTTATAAACATCGATCAGGCGGGAGACGGAGAGATACAAAGTAACATTGTTTATAAACATCGATCAGACGGGAGATAGAGATACAAAGTAACATTGTTTATAAACATCGATCAGACGGGAGATGGAGAGATACAAAGTAACATTGTTTATAAACATGGATCAGACGGGAGATAGAGGGATACAAAGTAACATTGTTTATAAACATCGATCAGACGGGAGATGGAGAGATACAAAGTAACATTGTTTATAAACATCGATCAGACGGGAGGTAGAGAGATACAAAGTAACATTGTTTATAAACATCGATCAGACGGGAGATAGAGATACAAAGTAACATTGTTTATAAACATCAATCAGACGGGAGATGGAGAGATACAAAGTAACATTGTTTATAAACATCGATCAGATAGATTAGATCAGCGGTTCTCAATCTGGGGGTCGAACGACCATTTCCCAGGGGTCGCCTAAGACCATCCGGAAAACACATATTTCCGATGGTCTTAGGAACCGAGACACCGCTCCTGTCTCAGGCGATCTGTGGGCGGGATGATATGCTGCCCCTGTCACCTGGCCACACCTCCGGGATCACTCAACAGCTCTGCCTCCTCGCCGCTGATTGGCCAGCGGAACTGTAGCTCAGGAGAGGCACACAGGTGGCCAATCACCGGTAAGGAGGTGGAGCTTGGAGAGGAGGAGCCGAGCGTAGATCAAGGAAGATCGAGTGAGCTGCCGGAGCGAGTGAAGAGGAGAGCGGCCAGAGAAGGAAGACAGCTGACAGGGAAGTGCAAATTTTGCTGCTGCAGCCAGGTATGCAGGATGTAGATGGGGGGGAGGGAGAGAGCGAGCCCAGGCTGGAGCAGGAGTCAGCAAGGTAAGTATCATTGGTGTCAGTGGGAGGAATAGTGTCCCATCATTGGTGTCAGTGGGAGGAATAGTGCCCCATCATTGGTGTCAGTGGGAGGAATAGTGCCCCATCATTGCTGTCAGTGGGAGGAATAGTGTTCCATCATTAGTGTCAGCGGGAGGAATAGTGCCCCATCATTGGTGTCAGCGGGAGGAATAGTGTCCCATCATTGGTGTCATTGGGAGGAATAGTGCCCCATCATTGGTGTGAGTCGGAGGAATAGTGCCCCATCATTGGTGTCAGTGGGAGGAATAGTGTTCCATCATTAGTGTCAGTGGGAGGAGTAGTGCCCCATCATTGGTGTCAGTGGGAGGAATAGCGCCCCATCATTGGTGTCAGTGGGAGGAATAGTGTCCCATCATTGGTGTCAGTGGGAGGAATAGTGCCCCATCATTGGTGTCAATGGGAGGAATAGTGCCCCATCATTGGTGTCAGTGGGAGGAATAGTGCCCCATCATTGGTGTCAGTGGGAGGAATAGCGCCCCATCATTGGTGTCAGTGGGAGGAATAGTTTCCCATCATTGGTGTCAGTGGGTGGAATAGTGACCCATCATTGGTATCAGTGGGGGGAGGAATAGCGCCCCATCATTGGTGTCAGTGGGAGGAATAGTGACCCATCATTGGTATCAGTGGGAGGAATAGTGCCCCATCATTGGTGTCAGTGGGAGGGAATAGTGCCCCATCATTGTGTCACTAATACCAACGATGGGGCACTATTCCTCCCCCCACCGACACCAACGATGGGGCGCTATTCCTCCCCCCACCGACACCAACGATGGGGCGCTATTCCTCCCCCCACTGACACCAACGATGGGGCGCTATTCCTCCCCCCACCGACACCAACGATGGGCGCTATTCCCCCCCCACCGACACCAACGATGGGGCGCTATTCCTCCCCCCACTGACACCAACGATGGGGCGCTATTCCTCCCCCACTGACACCAACGATGGGGCGCTATTCCTCGTGTCCCCCACTGACACCAACGATGGGGCGCTATTCCTCCCCCCACTGACACCAACGATGGGGCGCTATTCCTCCCCCACTGACACCAATGATGGGGCACTATTCCCCCCGCACTGACACCAACGATGGGGCACTATTCCTCCCCCCACTGACACCAATGATGGGGCACTATTCCTCCCACTGACACCAACGATGGGGCACTATTCCTCCCACTGACACCAATGATGGGGCACTTAATTCCTCCCACTGACACCAATGATGGGGCACTATTCCTCCCACTGACACAATGATGGGGCACTATTTCCTCCCACTGACACCAATGATGGGGCACTATTCCTCCCACTGACACCAATGACGGGGCACTATCCTCCCACTGACCACCAATGATGGGGCACTATTCCTGCCACTGACACCAATGATGGGGCACTATTCCTGCCACTGACACCAATGACGGGGCACTATTCCTCCCACTGACACCAAATGACGGGGCACTATTCCTCCCATCTGACACCATTTGTGGGTGGAAATGACAGGGCACTATTCCTCCCACTGACACCAATGAGGGGGGGTCGTGGGGGGGGGGCACTATTCCTCCCACTGACACCAATGATGGGGCACTATTCCTCCCACTGACAACCAATGATGGGGCACTATTCCCACCCACTGACACCATGATGGGGCACTATTCCTCCCACTGATACCAATGATGGGGCAATATTCCTCCCACTGACACCAATGATGGGACACTATTCCTGCCACTGACAAGCCAATGATGGGGCTTTGCCCTATTCCTCCCCACTGACACCAATGACAGGGCACTATTCCTCCCCACTGCAAAATTACAGTTTTGAAGTACCCCCGCCAACAAAAATAATTTTATGGTTGGGGGTCACCACAACATGAGGAACTGTATTAAAGGGTCGCGGCATTAGAACCACTGGATTAGATAGATAGAGATGGAAAAAGTAATATATATTTATAAACAATGTTACTTTGTATCTCTCCATCCCCCGTCTGATCGATGTTTATAAACAATGTTACTTTGTATCTCTCTGTCTCCCGTGTGATCGATTGATGTTTATAAACAATGTTACTTTGTATCTCTCCATCTCCCGTCTGATCGATGTTTATAAAACAATCGTTACTTTGTATCTCTCTATCTCTGAACAATGATTTATAAACAATGTTACTTTGTATCTCTCTATCTCTGAACAATTTTATAAACAATGTTACTTTGTATCTCTCCATCTCCCCGTCTGATCGATGTTTATAAACAATGTTACTTTGTATCTCTCCATCTCCCGTCTGATCGATGTTTATAAACAATGTTACTTTGTATCTCTCCATCCCCCGTCTGATCGATGTTTTATAAACAATGTTACTTTGTATCTCTCTATCTCCCGTCTGATCGATGTTTATAAACAATTGTTACTTTGTATCTCTCTGTCTCCCGTGTGATCGATGTTTATAAAACAAGTTACTTTGTATCTCTCCATCTCCCGTCTGATCGATTTTATAAACAATGTTACTTTGTATCTCTCTATCTCTGAACAATGTTTATAAACAATGTTACTTTGTAATCTCTCTATCTCTGAACAATTTTTATAAACAATGTTACTTTGTATCTCTCCAATCTCCCGTCTGATCGATGTTTATAAACAATGTTACTTTGTATCTCTCCATCTCCCGTCTGATCGATGTTTATAAACAATGTTACTTTGTATCTCTCGATCTCTGAACAATGTTTATAAACAAATGTTACGTTGTATCTCTCTATCCCTGAACAATGTTTATAAACACTGTGTCAGACAGCAGCTCCCTACCACCATATTGAATGAATGATGGGAATTGCTGACCAGTGCAGGGGGAGGGGCAGAAGTGAAGGACGGGACGTTTACTGGGCATGCTCTGTGTATTGGGCATGTGTCCACAGCTGGCTATAGGAGACCTGGCACTTGGGCCCAGTGGCGCCACCTTCTGAATGACGCAGTTTCCGAGTCATCTTCCTCCTCCAGCTTCCTCCCCCCCAGGATAGTAAACCTCCCCCTCCTTGTCTTGCAGCCTCCTCCATCGGCAGCGGGGGGCTCGGTGGAGACGTTCTCCGGAGGGTGAAGAGGCCACGTCACCCCTGGACGTGCAGATTGTCAGCGAATGGTCGGAGGTGGAGTCGCCCCCAAAATCACAGCGAGAGGACGGAGCTGCCTGAACCCCCATCAGAGCCCAAAGCCTCCGCCCACATGGACAGCGGCGAACATGTGACCGACCCTCAGCCCGCCATTCACCGACCAGCATTACCAGCGTCTCCAGGAGGAGCTGAACCAGAGCCTGAGGCAGATGACGAGGGCCCACAGCTCCGAGCTGCACAAGCTGCGGGAGAACGTTGGTGGAGGGCCACAGTCGCATCGTACAGCACCTGGAGGGCGTGGCCTCGGAGGTGCGGGAGTTAAACGCCCACGTGCGGCAGATCCACCATGAACCAAGCGCACTTCAACCTCATGTTCCAGAACTATCTCAGTGACACCAAACAGTTCTAACGGGGCCATGGTGCAAGCCATGAGGAATCTACAGCAGCCCCAAGCCGTCAGCCCCATGGCTTCCGCCGCGTCCTGCCCCTGCGGCGTCACCTAAGGCCCCACCCATCGCCAACCCCGCCCAATCCGCTGCTACTGACTTCAAACGCCTGACTTTACCACCCTGTCCCCGGCGGGATCGGCCGAACCGGCCTCCGCCTCCTCCACCGCATCAGAGGTACCGGTCTACACCAGCAACCACAGCACCCGGAGGTCCTCTTCAGCCTTCCAACCCCAAAAAAACCATTAAAGGGGGTCCAAAGCAAAAAAAAAAAACTGTTTAAAAATGTTTGAATGAAGTTGGGAAGACTTAACACCCCCCTCTCCCCCCAGGTTTGCTTCTGCTATTGGGGAGATTTGCCTTCACTTCCTGTTCTGGGAATCTCTCTCCAAAGTGAAGGTCTCCATTGGAAGGTCTCCCCTCTGTTCTGGTGACAATTCCAAATGTCGGCTTTCCCATCACTTCCTGTTTTGGTGACACCAGGAGAAGTAGGGTGACTCTCCCCAGTGGGGACACAGGAAGTAGAATAAAAAGGTGTGGGGTGATGGATCTCTTAAAGCAGTAGATGTCCTCAGTCTGGTCAGGAATGGTTCACCTCGGGGTAGATCTGCCAGGAGTGGGGGGCGCAGGTATGCTTTTTGTTTTCGGGGGATCGTGAGGCTATTTGCCCCAACGCGTTTCGGGTGATCGAGTGGCTCCAAAGTGTTTCGGGGAATAAAGTGGTCGTTCATCCATAGCTTGGTGCTCTTGAATGAAGCATGAAGTGGGCGGATAACATTGGAGGAATCTGGAGGATTAGTATGGTCCACTCCAGATGCTGGTTAACTCCACCCTCCTTCTCCCCCTCCAGTCTTGCACAGGTGAGCCGGCTCCTCCCCTCCAGTCTTGCACAGGTGTGCCGGCTCCTCCCCTCCAGTCTTGCACAGGTGTGCCGGCGCCTCCCCTCCAGTCTTGCACAGGTGTGCCGGCGCCTCCCCTCCAGTCTGGCACAGGTGTGTTGGCTCCTCCCCTTCAGTCTGGCACAGGTGTACCGGCTCCCTCCCCTTCAGTCTGGCACAGGTGTACCGACTCCTCCCCTTCAGTCTGGCAAAGGTGTACCGACTCCTCCCCCTTCAGTCTGGCACAGGTGTACCGACTCCTCCCTTCAGTCTGGCACAGGTGTACCGACTCCTCCCCTCCAGTCTTGCACAGGTGTACCGGCTCCTCCCCTTCAGTCTTACACAGGTGTACTGGCTCCTCCCCTTCAGTCTTGCACAGGTGTAGCGGCTCCTCCCCTTCAGTCTTGCACAGGTGTAGCGGCTCCTCCCCTCCAGGCTTGCACATGTGTACCAGCCCCTCCCCTCTAGTCTTCCGGCTCCTCCCCTTCAGTCTTGCACAGGCGTACCGGCTCCTCCCCTTCAGTCTTGCACAGGCGTACCGGCTCCTCCCCTTCAGTCTTGCACAGGCGTATCGGCTCCTCCCCTTCAGTCTTGCACAGGCGTACCGGCTCCTCCCCTTCAGTCTTGCACAGGCGTACCGGCTCCTCCCCTTCAGTCCTTGCACAGGCGTACCGGCTCCTCCCCTTCATTCCTGCTCAGGTGTACCGGCTCCTCCCCCCTTTCAGTCTTGCACAGGTGTACCGGCTCCTCCCCTCCAGTCTTCCGGCTCCTCCCTCCAGTCTTGCACAGGGTGTACCGGCTCCTCCCCTTCAGTCCTGCGCAGGTGTACCCGGCTCCTCCCTTTCAGTCTTGCACAGGTGTACCGGCTCCTCCCCTCAGTCTGGCACAGGTGTACCGACTCCTCCCCTTCAGTCTGGCACAGGTGTAACCAGCTCCTCCCCTGGACAGGAATGGCTTCCTCTGATTTGACTGCACACTGTGAGTTTTCTCGCAATGTGCATTACAAGCTGCAGCCAATCAGATAGAGCTCCGCCCCATTTTCCTGGCTGGAGCCTGACTGTGTGATCCTGCCCAGTCTGATCAGTGGCTTTCCTCCACCCGCCGCCTTCACGGAGCCCCGCCCAGTCTGATCAGCGGCTTCCTCCACCCGCCTCCTTCATGGAGCCCCGCCCAGTCTGATCAGCGGCTTCCTCCACCCGCCTCCTTCACGGAGCCCCGCCCAGTCTGATCAGCGGCTTCCTCCACCCGCCGCCTTCACGGAGCCCCGCCCAGTCTGATCAGCGGCTTCCTCCACCCGCCTCCTTCACGGAGCCCCGCCCAGTCTGATCAGCAGCTTCCTCCATCCTCATCCTTCCCGTGACGATCTGGAACTACAGACCCCCTCAGAATGCCGCTCGCCTGGCTGCCTCAGATGCAGAGTAAAGGCGTACAGACCAACTCCAGGGTGGGCCCTAAAAGCCAATGTCCCCCCCTCAGCATAAGTATATAACGCCGGTCCTCATGGGGTCCCTTACCCCCCCCCAAACCGCCGTTGGTCCCCCGAAGCCGCTCTTCATCCCCGTTCGATGACGTCATCATGTACAATGCAGAACCAAGGGGCCATCACCCATCCGGCTCTGTACATGATGACGTCACCTCCAGCCCTTGAGGAGGATTGTGGATTTACACAGCTCCACCAGCCTGGTGACCCCCGTTTTCTCTTACCGCTTGGTCAGTGCCCCACCCCCCCCAGCCTGTGATTGGACATTGAAGGAGCAGCAGGCTAACGAGCTTTCCTCCCGCCTTTTTCAGCACATGTGACTACAGCCCACCCTGATTGGGTCCTCGTGCGGCCCCCTCCCCCTCCTGTAAAGAAGATTACAAGAGGCTGATACATAATTCTGGAACTTACACCGGTGGGATTTCAAAATGACACTTTAAGGGGTCTGTTCCCTAAAAAAAAAAAAGTCGTTGGACGATTGTGACGAACCTTCGACCATCCGCGACGAAATCTGGCCGCATTCTGCTTCTTAGAATAATCGGCGGCTCCATCTGGTGGCTATAATGCGGTATTGTTTCCTGAAATCCCTCAGTCAGGTTCATACCACATTATGGCCACTAGATGGGGCTGATAGGACACATATTAAGGGGAGAATTCATGGAGGATGGGCGAATGGTCGTCATGTTCGTCCAGTGATTTGCTGGAAGAGGGAGGGGCAGTATGGGAGGGGCCAATCGGGACCCAGCTATGTCCACATGTGCTGACCAAAGGAGTGGCCTCATCCATGTGCTGCTCCTTTCCCTGTCCAATGAGCAGGTTGGGGGGGGTGTTTTCGCCTGGTGGAAGATCTGGCTGTGCAGCCTGGTAGGGTCGCCTGGATCACTCGACTGACTGAACAGAATGATGGAATCAAATCGCATGGTGCCCATATTATCTGTGTGTTTAGCTTTGGATCTGGAACTCCGCCCCTGACGTAGCGGTGGAACGCCCCCAGCACCAGCAATGCTCGGCACTCTGCATGACACCACACCCTGGTGCTGACGGGTCAAAGAAAAGGTACCAAATGTGGCGGCTGCCTTCGTTTTCTGCTTTGGCTTTTTTTTCTTTTCACCTGGTGATCCTGCCAATAACACGCCTCCTGTCCTAGGGGGGCAACGCTCAATGTGCTGTATCTAGGTGAGGACTGACAACTCATGGAGCCCCCAGGCAATAGGGGATCATGGGGCCCCTGTGTCCTTGCCCACACTCAAAAAAGCCTATGAGAAAGGTACCAGGGACATCTCATGGGGCCCCCTACTAACCCCGGGCCCTCGGGCAGTGCCCGAGTTTTGTCAGTCCGCCCCTGGCTGTATCTATGGAAGATCAGTGTGGCCGCCCTAGGATGCACCCCTGACTTGGACTACAAACACCTCCCCCTTTCCTTTTGCATATGGAGGGGTTTTGTAGTTCACAAAAAAGCTGGGAACGCTGATAACTTTCAGAGCACAGGAAGGTACAAGGACACCGGATTTCTGGCAGGATCAACAGATGTGTTCCTCTTCTTGCTGAAAACTAACGCAACCACCACATCTTAGGACTGTTAAAGGCACACTCCGCCTTTCCAAGTTTCATGCTTCATCGTATTTAGGGTGTCACAAGGAACACGACATTCTACAGACACTCCCCCCAACCATAACAGGTCATGTGCCCTCAAAATGACAGGGAGGGCCATGTTGGTTAGAACAAGGGCCTCTTCCCCACAACCCTGGCTCGGTGGCTGTGCTCCCCACAACCCTGGCTCGGTGGCTGTGCTCCCCACAACCCTGGCTCGGTGGCTGTGTTCCCCCACAACCTGGCCCCTGGCTCGTTGGCTGTGTTCCCCACAACCCTGGCTCGGTGGCTGTGTTCCCCACAACCCTGGCTCGGTGGCTGTGTGTTTCCCCACAACCCTGGTTCGGTGGCTGTGTTCCCCACAACCCTGGCTCGGTGGCTGTGTTCCCCACAACCCTGGCCCCTGGCTCGGTGGCTGTGTTCCCCACAACCCTGGCTCGGTGGCTGTGTTCCCCACAATCCTGGCCCGGTGGCTGTGTTCCCCACAATCCTGGCCCGGTGGCTGTGTTCCCCACAACCCTGGCCCGGTGGCTGTGTTCCCCAAAACCCTGGCCCGGTGGCTGTGTTCCCCACAATCCTGGCCCGGTGGCTGTGTTCCCCACAACCCTGGCCCGGTGGCTGTGTTCCCCACAACCCTGGCCCGGTGGCTGTGTTCCCCACAACCCTGGCCCGGTGGCTGTGTTCCCCACAACCCTGGCTCGGTGGCTGTGGGGGTGCAGGCTTATCGGAATCTAGAAGCCCTTTTCGGATAATACGGTTCCCATATACCCTCCCACATTTAATTTCTTGGTGTGAACTTCCACATTGGGCGTTGACTGTTGGGTCAATGGGGACCCGAAGTGACCCAAAATGAATCTGTTTCTGAGGTCACGTTCCTTGAGGTCATTGGTCTCAGATCTGGTACTCACATTTTTAGTCCTCAATATGACTGGGGGGGCATGGTGATGGGGACTAGGGCCTCTTCCCCACAACCCTGGCCCGGTGGCTGTGGGGATGTGGGCCTGTTGGAATCTGGAAGTCCTGTTAGGATAGAGTGGGTTCCCATATACCCTCTCACGTTTAAATGCTTGGTGTGAACCTCCACTTTGGGCGATGACTGTTGGGTTAATGGGGACCCAAAGAGACCCAAATTATTCCATTTCTGAGGTCACATTCCTTGAGGTCATTGGTCTCAGATCTGGTGGTCACAGGTCCTTAGTTCTCTATATGACTTGGGATGCCCATGTTTGTGAGGATAAGAGCCTCTTCCCCAAAACCCTGGCTCAGTGGCAGTGGGGGTGCGGGCTTATCTGAATTTGGAAGCCTTTTCAAGATAGAGTAGTTCCCATATACCTTCCCCCACGTTTAAATGCTTAGTGTGAACCTCCACTTTGGGTGATGACTGTTGGGTTAATGGGAACCCGAAATGGGCCCAACTTATTCAATTTCTGAGGTCACATTCCTTGAGGTTATTGGTCTCAGATCTGGTGGTCACAGGTCTTTAGTTCTCAATATGACTGGGGATGCCAATGATTTGGTGAGGACAAGGGCCTCTTCCCCACAACCCTGACCCGAAGCGATCAAAATGAATCCATTTCTGAGGCCACTGTCCTTTACGTAATTGATCTCAGGTCTGGTCTTCACATTTTTAGTTCTCAATATGACTGAGGGGGGCGATCATAGTTAATCTATTTCTGAGATCCATTTCCTTGAGGTCAATGGCCTCAGGTCTGGTCCTCAATATGACTGGGAGGGGCATGGAGATGAGGACAAGGGCCGCTTACCCAAAACCCTGGCCTGGTGGCTTATTGGAATCTGGAAGCCCTTTTAGGATAAAGTGGTTCCCATATACCCTCCCACGTTTAAATTCTTGGTGTGAACCTCCACTTTGGGTGATGCCTGTTGGGACAATGTTGACCCAAAGTGATCAAAGTTAATCTGTTTCTGAGAACAATTTCCTTGAGGTCGATGCCTCAGGTCTGGTCCTCAATATGACTGAGGGGCATGGAGATGTGGACAAGGGACTCTTCCCCACAACCCTGGCCCAGTGGCTGTGTGGGTGCGGGCTTATCGGAATCTGGAAGCCCTTTTAGGATAAAATGGTTCCCATAAATCTCACCACATTTAAATTCTTGGTGTGAACCTCCACTTTGGGCAATGACTGTTGGGTCAATGGGGACTCGAAGCGACCCAAATTATTCCATTTCTGAGGTCACATTCCTTGAGGTTATTGGTCTCAGGTCTGGTGATCACAGGTCTTTAGTTCTAAATATGACTGGGGATGCCAATGTTGGTGAGGACAAGGGCCTCTTCCCCACAACCCTGACCCAAAGCGATCAAAGTGAATCCATTTCTGAGGCCACTGTCCTTTTATGTCATTGATCTCAGGTCTGGTCTTCACATTTTTAGTTCTCAATATGACTGAGGGGGGCGATCATAGTTAATCTGTTTCTGAGATCCATTTCCTTGAGGTCAATGGCCTCAGGTCTGGTCCTCAATATGACTGGGAGGGGGGGGCATAAAGATGAGGACAAGGGCCGCTTCCCCACAACCCTGGCCTGGTGGCTTATCGGAATCCTGAAGCCCTTTTAGGATAAAGTGGTTCCCATATACCCTCCCACGTTTAAATTCTTGGTGTGAACCTCCCCTTTGGGCAATGACTGTTGGGTCAATGGGTACTCGAAGCGACCCAAATTATTCCATTTCTGAGGTCACATTCCTTGAGGTTATTGGTTTCAGATCTGGTGGTCACGGGACTTTAGGCCCATGTTGGTGAGGACAAGGGCCTCTTCCCCACAACCCTGACCTGAAGTGATCAAAATTAATCCATTTCTGAGGCCACTGCCCTTGACGTCATTGGTATCAGGTCTGGTCTTCACATTTTTAGTTCTCAACATGACTGAGGGGGGCCATGGTGACCAAATTAATCTATTTTTGAGGTCACATTCCTTGAGGTCATTGGTCTCTAGTCCGGGGCTCTCATATCTAAGCCTGGCACAGCTCAGCATATGATACTCCATGTGAAAATTAAATAACTGGCCAATCACCATCGCCAACAGATTCCAAAACATTTCCATGTATGGGTTTCCACCATCTACGACTACTACAACATCCAGGACAGGTGGCTCTGCACGGTCATGTGACACAAAAGGGGTGGAG